TCTTTTCTATTAAATCTCAAGCATAGATTTCTAGAGCGCTTATTAAATTAGGATGCATACATGGTCCTTATAGCACAATTTTTTTGAAAATAAACCCAAAGAAAAAGTTTTATGTGGATCTAATGTTAGAGATTGATTTCAAGACTATTGTCACCCTTGTTAAATCTAGATCTTACTCGTTATGCTAAAGTTTAAGTTTGTCGACATCTTTGTTGATGTACTATTTTATAGAAGAGTTTGATGTTTCCTCTGAAAATCTTCTTTTAAATTAAAATGAGGGATTGTTGGAACAAATAATGTTGAAGAATTAATGTTAAAATATATGTTAAATATGTGTCAAAATTTCAATGTGCGTAATGAATTAGAGGGGAAAACTCTTTATGTCTCACATTTAGAGATTTTGTAAATATAGGGAGTTTATTAGAAATAAATATCATATGCGGTCTATTCGACTAGTCAACTTGGACCCGATTTCGGGTTTGTGGCTTGGTATTAATCATATTTTTTGGTAACAAAAACTTAAATATTTCTAAAAGAAAATTAAATTCAAAATTGACACGTCATTACCTAATGGCCACCTTTGATTGAGTACCGTTATAATCAACAATAACTGAGCAAGTTAAGTCTGGATTTAGGATTTGTGAGAGTATGTTCCACCTCTCCTGAATTTTCCTCCCACCCAACTTGACTCTACTTTGAATTCTCTCATATCCAACTTGACTTTACTTTGAATTCTCTCCCACATTTTTTGCCTATTTGACCGTCCATTTCATTAACAATCAAATGATTTGGTCTGTCATTCAGGAGTCAGATCCAAAACTTTCACTATAAATACAGACCTTTAGTCACTTTTCAAGTCACAACAAAACTTTAGAATTATTCTCTCCACTCTCTTTTAGAGTTATTCTCTCCACTCTCTTTTTTGCTCTTGAATTTTCAGTCCCTTCTTTTATTTATATTCATTGAAATTTTCAAATATTTCTTGAAATTCTCTTATGAAAATTAGTTGTCTTTTGAGAAATTTGTCCTCATCCAAAAAAATATTGCAAATATACCGACAATGTAAAATATTTTTACACTGTCAACCAATGAGAGACATGCATCACAATAAAATCTATTTTTATTTTTAAAATAATGAAATGACATGATCAAAGTAATAATTCTAATTGATTATGTGTAAAATTATTTTACACTGACAATTTACCATCTTTAAACTATTAGAGAAAACAACCTAATTTATCACTCAACCAATCATTTTAGTGGCATAAATTAGCTTTTAAATCTTTCAAAAACAACAAAACCGCTAACAAAATCTCTAAAGTTCAATTCTATAACACTTTCTTCTTTTTCAAGATAAAATTAAATACAAAATAAATTAAATTTACATTCTCTCATCTTTTCTATAACGAACAACCAATTAATTTTTATTTTTTTTACATTTTTTCAAGTATTTTATATCAAGAAAACCACAAATCAAATGTGTATTTTTTATTTTTTTTCTCTTACGGAGGAAGTAATTATTTTCTGTCGTATCATACATGTAATCACTTCTATTCTCTATTCTTAAATTTATATCATATCATACATGAAATATCTATTCTCTATTTCTTAAATTTATATTTCATTCTCTTCTTTCATTGGACTGTAGTTGTGCACGTGTTAAATAGGCTGGCAAATAATCTTTCAAATGATTTTTTTCTCTTCATATTGGGAATGATAAAATAGGTGCAAATAAAAAAAATAAAAGAAAATAAATAAGTAATAATGATATACTATAATAAAAAAGTGCAATGCAACGAGAGAAAGGAACTCTGAAAGAAAGAAAGCAACGGAAAATAAGAAATGTGACAAAATCAATACCGAGTTTTGATCTTCATGCATTGCTTTCAAGTTGCTTTTAACCATATATTTCACATTTCAAAAAGAAAAAAAAAAAGTTCCTCTTCACCATAACTATATGCCAACAGCACAAACCCAAAGTCAAAAATAGAAAACTTCCAGATTTTCACTCACGAGATGTTCGTCCCATAACACCAACTTTACACTCAAAGCAGTGGCTTAGCTTCCATTTCATCTTCTCTTTATATTTCTCATGAGGTGCATGTGTCCCTCCCATTTTACACATAAAAACAACACCAACACAATTAAAGCTAGTAGCCCAAATTGAGCTAGCTCAAGGATACACTACTATAGCAAGAAATATTAATGGACAAGAAACCTACAAATTCTTTCCAAACTCATTTTATGGACATACATGAAGAAGTTTTATCAGAAGGAGACGAAGAAGGAACGATAAAAAACGAGGATAGGGAAGAGAAGCATTTGAATAAAACAACAACAAAACCTCGAGAACCGAAGAGAAACCATGGAAGACTTAACAGACAAGTTTCTCTTGAGACGGGTTTTTCTGTTCTGAACAGAGAAAGAAAAGGTAAAGATGAGAGAAAGACTCTGACAAGAAGTGGAACCAGCTTAGGAGGTTTGAATCCTGCAAATAAGATTGGTTTGGAAGGACAGAAAAGAGATTTCAGTATCTTTAAGACGAAATCCACTCTCAGTAAACAGAATTCTTTGTTGCCGAGAAAAATCGAGAAGGAATTGGAGTCTCAGAAGATTAATGGCACTTCTGGTGCGGATGATGATTCTGTTAATGCAAGTGTTCCTGCAGGTAGATACTTCGCTGCTCTTAGAGGACCTGAGTTAGATGAAGTCAAGGTGAGACATTGCTACCTAAGTTTTACACTTTTACCTCAAAGTTGCATGAATGCCTGCATGTTAGATAGATATATGCTATATATATCTTTCCATAGACTCAATCACAGTTTAAAATTAAAAGGATTTTAAAATGATGTTTAAGAGAATAGTTTGTGATTCATCTTCATGTCTTATCTTCATGCCTTTAAAGTTTGGAATTGGAAATCTATAACCATGTGACAGTTGTAACTGATGGAATTAACTATAATAAGCAAGATCACCAACCCAAATAATATAGTTATTTTATAAGAACTAAAATATGCATAAATGATCAATTATAATGTTGTGCATACATTTGACACAGGACTCAGAGGACATCCTTCTCCCCACAGATGAGCTGTGGCCCTTTCTCCTTCGGTTTCCTATAGGATGTTTTGGTATCTGTCTCGGCCTAAGCAGTCAAGCGGTTTTATGGCATAACCTGGCAACAAGTCCTGCCACGAGGTTTCTCCATATTACACCAAATATCAGTTTTGTAATATGGTTGTTGGCCTTAGCAGTGCTAATAGCTGTTTCCATCACCTACATTCTCAAATGCATATTCTACTTTGAAGCAGTCAGAAGAGAGTATTTCCATCCGGTTCGTATCAACTTCTTCTTTGCCCCTTGGGTTGTCTGCATGTTTTTAGCCATCTCTGTACCCTCCAAACTAGCCCCGCAACAAACCCTTCACCCTGCCATTTGGTGCACTTTCATAGCACCTTATTTTCTCCTTGAACTCAAAATCTATGGCCAGTGGCTTTCTGGAGGCAAAAGGCGTCTATCTAAGGTTGCAAATCCCTCTAACCATCTCTCTGTATCTGGGAACTTTGTTGGAGCAATTTTAGCATCAAAAGTGGGTTGGAAAGAACCTGCCAAATTCTTTTGGGCTGTTGGTTTTGCACATTACCTTGTGGTGTTTGTTACACTGTATCAGAGATTGCCAACAAGTGAGGCGTTGCCTAAAGAGCTACATCCTGTGTACTCCATGTTTATTGCAGCTCCCTCCGCGGCTTGTCTTGCTTGGCAGAGTATCTATGGAGAGTTTGATGGGATATCCAGAAATTGCTATTTCATCGCCTTGTTTCTCTACATTTCACTTGTTGTCCGGATCAAATTTTTCACTGGTTTTAGGTACAATCTTGTCTCTATCAAAATATAATACAACTTTGGTTCAATAATCTAGGTTTAGGGTTTAGAATTTAACTATGTATCTTTTTATGGACAGGTTTTCAGTGGCGTGGTGGGCTTATACCTTTCCCATGACGACTGTTTCAGTGGCAACCATCAGGTATGCAGAGGAGGTCCCTGCCTTCATTAGTAAGAGTCTTGCTCTTGGACTTGCATTTATGTCATCAACTATGGTCTCTGTTTTGTTTGTGTCCACTCTCCTGCATGCTTTCTATTGGCGCACTTTGTTCCCAAATGATCTTGCTATTGCCATAACGAAGAGGAAGCAAGGTGGGGAGAAGAAACCCTTGAAAAAGGCCTATGACATTAAGCGATGGACAAAGAAAGCTCTGACCAAGAACTCGGAGAACAAGGATAATAGTAAGAATAATGGCTACACCAGTCCATATGATAACAGGAGTGTCATGGCCTAGGATGGGTAGCAGCATACTCCTATATTTCCCTTATAATTCTAATGTAGGATCAATCATGGATTTATACTATCTTGAGCAGATTATACTCGAGAAACCTATATTTGAACGTTAGTTTGTGTCCTAAATTTTTTATTTAAAATGCTTTATATATAGATTTGCTAATTGCCTAATGTTTATCTATTTCATTTGTTAGAGTTAGACTATAGCTATCTTACCTATTTATTTTGATTAGTTCTGGAAGTGCTAATATACACTAACATGCTACTATTCAAGAGTTTAGACGCGTACAGTCACGACTGCTCATAATGGCTAATGGTCCTTCCCCGTGCTAATCAATTCAATCACTAAACTAATAATATCATGATGTATACTTTGATGTGAAAATTCTAAGATATAGTTAAACCCCAAACAGGAGTAAGTAAATTACTTGGAAAAAAAGACAATGCAACTCTTGCCTGTAATAATTTACTTTTTCAATTAATGATTATGAATCTATGATCATGATTAGTAAACACAAGCTATGCACCTAGGCATGTTAATTTCTAAAACTTTCTAAGATTCTTTTTACAGTAAGAACCATCTCTCATCAGAAAAGAGTTGGCTGTCTGTCAGATTCAACTATGTACCGTCAATCTTCACATACATCAGCAGCAAAACTTGAAGTCAGATGCCCAAAAAAAAGCTGGCTGCACATTTCCTCCTTACTGTCACCGAATTCCCAAGCTCCTGGATCATTTCAGTTAAAAAGCCAAATATAAAAGGAATCCGTTTTCTTTTTGCAATCGGGGATTCAATGATCAAATGTGTAAATTAAACACCAAAAGTAGCATCAGTGGTACATACCTCCTTGCACTTAACAGACTATGGCAACCATCATTCCCATGATGAATTTTCTTTGCCCCGAAAGTAAAAGCCTTCTCCTGCATCATTTGTGTCAGCTAGGAGATGAAATTTATCATACATTGTAAAGAATAGAAATATATTAAACACAACAAGAACAAAGATATGAAAGAACAGGCTGAGGAATAGGGCTCGACAAAATTCATGTTCTACAGAGTTCAGACACTTCACTATTTTTAAATATATATTACCTCTTGGTTCGGACGAAAAGAATTTAATATATTTTCTTTTGAATCCTTGCCCTAAGAAATAAATGACTCAATACAATGCTAAGAGAGATGGAAAATAATCCAAAGAGTATTACATGTAGTTCAAAATTATAGAGGTTAAACCTTTCTGCACATCCTGGATTGTTGAGGCAGTTGGAAATGAGATCCATTATTAGGTTGGCCTTCAGATGTCAGAGACAACTAACATTCAAGAAAGAGGAATGATTGAGAAACGTTGAAACTGAGTATCTTTATGACGCAGAAACACAATCTGCACCGTAGGGCACTAGAATTTATTCAAGAAATTGCATCAAGAAAATAACGTAGCTAAATAAAAGAATAAGTTCACCTTGCTAAATAGTTCAATAGGAGGATTATGCTGAATCCCCTTTTCAGTGTGTAAATCAAATTCCTGTATGAATTGTAGCAATATGATCAATAAATTTTTTTAACTGAAATATAATAGGACGATAAATCCTATGATACAGTATGCCTCACCATTGGCACTGTTGTTTCCTCCTTGTTGGTCTGTACAACACCACCACGCTCTTTACTAGATAGTATCTGCATTCAAACATTTTGGAATTAAATATAGCAGATAAAATAAACAACAGGGGAGTAAAAGTAAAACTAAGGCTTAACCATATTTTTCATCCTTTCATGAATACCAAATTTTGCTATTAGTCGATGTAAAATTTCTTGTTTGTTTGTGATCCATGAATTGTTAAAAGAAGAAGAAACCCTAATGCCACACCATTATCCAACTTAGATGCCATGTTGCTTTGCTAATCTTTCATGTGGTACGATACAGCCAAGCACTTGGGGAAACCCTCCCTCCCTTAAAAGCTAGCTACCATGAGGGAGAACCAAGTCACTTAAATACTCTATCGAACATCACATATTACTTGATGTGGGGATTGGACACCCCATAGTACCCAAGTCCCTATCAGAATACCTTTCTAGAATAGAACATCATGGCATTAATAAGTCTAAGATTGAATGTAAACTAGTATGAATGAGTAAATAAACAATGTAAGCAAAATTTGTTACATTTGTTATTGAAGTCTAAGATTGTATAAACAATTTTAATTGGAGAAAACACGGTTATAACAAGAAATATTAAAATTATAACTCATCCATAATTGGAACTATTCAAACTGCATTGTTATTAGTATTCCATGTTATCTTACCAAAATTTGTAAGCAATGTCTCATTACCTTCTTATGAAGAGGCTGAGCTTTAAAAATATGAGTAAAACCCAATCCATCATGCTTTGGGGCACCCATGGCAGTAGGCCTATAGAAACACACTGTAATTAGTACCACAGTTTCAATTTTGTCTAAATTAGAATGAGTTTTCACATGATGGCATCTGTTACCTTCTGGCATCCTTGATTCTATGTTCAAGAGCAGAAACAGAAGTATGCTTGTCCCAACCCTGCAACCAGAGAACTTTGGTTTCTAAAAGACTATTCATATCTATCATGTAATATGAAAGTAACCATAAAATATAAATCAATCATAAAAAGTAATATATCTCCTATATAAACTTAAACTAGATATACGAACATGAATGGCATGCTATTGCTTAAAATTCTATGAACTAAAATGACCTTTTCAGAATCATTGCAGTGAAGTGAAGATGAGGTAGCAGATGTGTGTTGCATGGCTCTCTCCAAAGTCTTCAAGTGAAACTCCTGAGAAGTTGACATAGAAAACCCGAGCTTCAATATTATTTAAGCTGAAAAAACTTTGTTTTCCTGATTAATTGTTAGCTTGGCTCTTTTCTTTTTTATAATAATGAAATTGTGATAAATATAGATGCGGATAGCAAGAATTAAAAAATTCAATTCTTACTTGAAATTCTGGCAAGCGCGGAGTGCTCCTTTTGAGAAGCGGCAACGAAGGAGCATCAAGAATCTAGATTACGGACATAATTAGAGAACATGATGGCAATATGCACCAAAATTAACCAAACAATAGAAACTATATATAGCATGTACTAACCCTTCTATTTAATGGACGTGCTTTGAACCTGGGGGCAGCCTCGGTCGTGTACTCTGCCTCTTCAATTTTGGGTCTGTTAAGCACAAATACTTCTCAGTGTTTGATGTCTATTAAAAAAATTTATGAAAATTTAACATTAAAGTTCCAGTGAAACACTCAACATCCAAAACCACAAACCTTATCCTTTGTGCTCTGTGTGCGGTTTTAAGGTCAGGCTCTCTGGGAATAGTAAGTTTCAGCTTGGGACAAGCAGAGTTTTGTTCAACAGTGAGACCCTGCAAGAACAAGTGAAAGAATAAAGTGGGTCAGGCAAACCTCTTTCACACCCCATAAAAAACAAGCCCCTCTCCCCAAAAGATAGGAATCACTCTTGCTCTTCCCATTTAAGGTTTAGGTACTCAATAGAGGTTCCCTTAATCATTGAAAATTTTCCGCGGATTCATACCCTCATAGGTGTCTTGTGCACAAAATCAGTTTGCTGCTTCACATCAGTAACCTGTCACAGAAATGATAGAGTAAGCATTTCAAATCCCCTGTCTAAAAAAAAATATGATGCAATATTACATAAGCCCAACTTAAATTCCCAGTCCATAGTCAAGTGCTTCCACAGATGACAGAACTGCAGAAACATTGGGAACTAAAATATAATTCCTAAGTATTTAGGGATGAAAACAACACGACCCATTTTGCCAATCACATCAGACCCAATATTCCAATCAAGCCTAACAACAAATAACTGGATCGAAAGGGGTCTCCTAACCCATATATGTGTGTGAGATATTTTTTAATTGACAAGAAAATGCATAAAAATTTTCTGCATTAAACAGTCACTTCGCGGTCAATCTCAAATGTACACCTCAAGCAGACAAATATAATGCAGTTTCTTCAAGTATTATAAATTCAGAGGAAAAAGAGAAAAATTTGCATACCTTGCACAAATGACCACCCTCTAACTTTTGCCGTTTGGCAGATTGATTTTCTACTCCAGAGGAGATAGATAAATTCATTTCATTCTGAGATAGTGGCTTCCGAAATCTGAGAATTGAAGAGTTGATGCCGGTTTTTCAGCACCAGGAAAAAATTGAAGGAACAAATGTAGTAATACTTCAAGAAAAATATGACTTCAAAAAGAATTCAGAATAAAATACACACAAGTTACCAAGCACTTAAACTAATACACCTGATTCTGTGGCAGAATGCATTAACATGGAAGATTTCAAAAGAAATATGAATTTAGAGTGCACTCTACTACCGCATACACCCCACCCCATGGGCTGCATAAAAAATAATGTCTATTTAACACTGAAAAAAGAATAAGTTGCTCAAATAATCACCTTGAAGCAACATTTTTGGCTGGACGATTTTTCCTAGCCAACTGAGTAGCTTTAGGTTTTATTAATGTTGAACCCTTCAGCACAGAAGGTTTAAAATTAGAATTCAAACTGTTACCGGTTGCTTTGTTGCCAGAGGTATGTCCTAGAAAAGACAGAAATACATGTTATGCAACAAGGAGAATATACTAGTTGAGGTCTACGAAAAAGTATAATGACATAGAGTGTGTGTGTGTGTAGAGAGAGGGAGAGCTAGGGAATCACAAACACATAATTTTGCATATAACAAAAGTAGAATCTAAAACAAGGTTATGATAGATATAAAACAATTCAAGTGCATCTACTTTACCACCTTAAGCTTTTGGAAATTAGTTTTTGACATGATTTAAATTTGATCCTTGCCACAAACATAATTCATAACCAAATTAAATTTCAATACAAAGCAAAGTAGAGTAATACATTCTGCCTATCTTAAACTTTTGGGAGAGTTAATCCTTAGTGTCATGGAACTGTGGTTCGTATAAAAAATGACCATTGTACAAGAAACAATTGCAATATGAGCACCTTCAACTTCAACGGTAAATTGAGTTTAAAGAAAGGTATTGATTCTGGTAAAGTTGTAGTTGTGAAACTACAAATTGATAATTGGATTCACATAAGTATTGCGAGATGCTAAGCCACTAAACAAATCTACCGCCCTGTGGTTAAAATATAGATCATCATGTCAGACTTATTTCTCATAGGTAATTGCAGTGGCCTCGTCGCAAAGCATAGTTTTGAAATTTTCCAGCTATCAAGCAATATATCTTTCAACCAAACGCATCCAATCTAACAATTATAAACTAGAAGTCACCATCTTAAATGCAATTTTAAAACACTAACAAAAACAAACAGAAGGTGCATTACAAAAACAATGACATAATAAGTCACTATATACTCAAAATATATCAAATATGGTCCCAGAAACAGTTGGACCATATCAATCTACTCGGGCACATTATCAGTGTTCCAAAATGATGCATTTAATAGCAAATTTGAATAATGTCAGGAAGCATTTAATAGCAAATCAACATAAAGATGAACAAATTAGATTAACATTTTGCTATTTTAGGGATTGATTTCAAATATTGATAATGTAGATTATATAACTCCTCCAATTTCAACAACCAAATTGGATATTTAGTATCGACCCACAGTTGATTACAGCGTCGATTCAACGAACTACAGTGATAATGTGAGTGACATTACAGTACAATAGAGTAAATTCAATAAAACAAGGAAACATGATACCATTAACAATGTCGGAAAGTTCAATCTGAGAAGGAACAGTAGGACCGAGTCCTTTATCATCATCATACACAGTACTCATACAATCAACATTCCTCGATTTCGTTGAGTCGTTAACATCGTCCAAGTCAAAATCCTCTCTCACCACTAACTTCGCCACAAAAGCTGAAACAGAAAAACAGTACTTGAACAAATTTCAACAAATAAAAAAACAACAGTTCAAGAAATGAACATGATAATGAGAAAGAGAAGAAGAAGACTAACGAGAAGGAGGGTAGTTTGGGGCATTTTGAAACCAAAGTTCAGCTTGATGAGCTTCAACGGGAGTTTCTGGTCGACTGAAATCGAAGAAACGAGCTGCGTCGAATTCGTAATCGAGATCAATTTCATGAGCAACGTAAACGTGCTCTATTTCAGCGTCCTCGTCTTCTTCCATCGTCATAGCCACCGTCACCGTCATGGTTAATCGTAACTCGTAAACTCTCTGCTTTTCAATCTATGATGATGGTCATTCTAAATACTGTGTCAGTGAGTGGGTAAGCTGAGTTATAAAGCGGGTCATGGTGACCCGAATTTGACCCGACTAATGAATTGAATGAAGACTACTTTGATAGTGACTGCTGACTGCTATGAGACTTTAGTGACTACTGAGTGGGTTCATCTAAACGGTAAATTTTGATTTGTTTTTTTTATTTTTGTTTTTTTATTCTGTAAAAAATATATAACTAATTTATAAAATTAATTTAGTTCATACTTGTGAAAAAATATCAATCCCAAGGGTGTTGGTTAGAATCAACTACGAATTCAATTGGTAGTTATATAAGACATCGGTGTCAAGGTAAATAGTTTTTTTTATTGTTGTTATTTTATTTTTATATTGCGCCGATGCTTCTGATTTGTAATTGTACCAACCGAAAGTCACAAACAAGATGTTTGTGTTATAAACGGGCAAGGATCCAAAATTTGAAAAATATACTAATAAGGAGTTTCTATAGGACCAATTTATGGTTACTTTAGCTTGGAATTTGAAAACAGCGCAGGGGTGACATTTTAGTAGGAATACTTTACTCTCTTTGTTTTAAAAAGACTATCGTTTAATAAATAAATTTTATTTTAAAATAATTGTATTTTTATTTTTTAATATAGTAATGATTACTATTTTTTAATTATATCTTTTATTTTTTACTTTCTACACTATTTTTAATATATTAATAAGGTTAATTTTATAAAAATATAATGTCTTACGATAATATCATTATATTTCTTAACTTATGTGCAAAACCCTAAATGACAATCATTTTAAAACGGAATATTAATTTCAAATTCTCGTGTGAAAGGAATAGAAGATTTTGCCAATTCCATTTGTTTTTTTGTCTATTATGTGTCACTGCTGGTGGTGGGCCATTGGGGTGACATTGTTTCATAATTACTCTTTTTTATTTTGTCAATTTTTTCAAATTTTTTATTTCATGTTTCATCCGCTATATAAAAATATATTATATTTATAATTTTTCGATGACACAATAACAGATTTAATATATTTTTTATCTTTAAATGTTGGTGATAATAACAAATTTAGTGATGAATTTAGAAGGTGACATTCATATTTTTATGATATGGATGTACATGCAAATACTTCGACGATTAAGTTAACGATGATTGTAATTTTGAAGTTCGGGATTAGAATAATGTATATTTGAATCTAATTTGTAGTTTATTTTTTATAGTGGAGTTTTAGGCTTTTGGAGTTCTAAAACCATATGCTCGTGACACATGTCGCATGAGACAGATGTCAGAAGTTGTGTTGAGTATTATTTGTCAGTCTCTAGGGGCTTGTCACCAATGATCAAGTGTATTTCTAGGGAGAGATCGTCTTAAAATTTTGAGGTGCTGAAATCTTCTTTAGGGACAATTGCATTGGTGGGCTGAGATCAATGAGTCCAACTATCTATCTGATCTCATAATCCTTAGGTGTTTGGCTAGTGACGATCTAGTATGATGATAGGGTATGACCATTCTAATATGTCAAAACTCTAAACTATATTCCAAGCATGGAGGTCTTTAATTGTCTCATGGGACTATTGGACAGATCCAATGGCCATAGGTAGAAGGACATATCATTGAGTTTGTTATTACATTTAAATTGGCTTTTTTGTAGGAAAAATAGAAAGCAAGATGTCTCTAAAGTTGTTGAGAACATCTTGCCTCATTTGGTTCTATGTTTGATTCTAGAGGTGATAACAAGATTTCATCCAGGCTTGTTCAATCTAAGATTCTACTGAAGTTGATGTGAAAGAAAGAATTGATTGATTGATATTTGTAGATAAATTTTTGAGGAAGATGTCATGAACATGTGTGACATCTTGGTGCGCGAGTGTTTACAGTGATTTCTGGTAAACAACCGCTAGTCCTCCAAACTATCGAATAAACTTACTGACTGTTATTCAATTTCTCTGGTAACTCGCAGGATCGACTAGATTGATCCTAGGACGTGTTGGTCATTAGGGTAACTCTCATGATCGAACTGGTATTCATGGTTGGTATTTAGAATGTTGTGTAGGTGTTTAACTTATTTCGATTTCTCTCTTAAAGATCTAAAGGTATGATCAAATAAATGTGCGTGAAACTAAATTGCATGAATAAAGGTCAATTGTAAAGACATGTAAAAACTGCATAAAAGACAAGTAAATGACTTTGAAACGTAAAAAAACAGTTAATGTAAAAGATTCGAAATATGAAGAAAGCGTTTAATGCAAGAAAACTGTAAAATGGCTTTAAGTGAAAAAGGTGTTCGAAGGATAAAAACTTGAAGATAAAGGCATGAAATGTATAACAGTTTCTGAAATGTAAAGTATTTGAAATGGAAAGAAAGCATTTAAATGTAAGGCATCAGTGAAAAGATTTCGAATAAAAAGACTTTAGATGCAAAAACTTGTAAATGGTATTGATATAAAGATAAAGGAAAGTACTGGAAATGATAAAGAGTTTTCATTAAATCATAAACATGTGGTGTTATCATACGTACATTGCTCTTGCATTCGTTTTCCTAGCCATGTGGTAATTTGAATGTTTACTGAGTTTTTTTGTACAATAGATATGACACACCAAATCCTAATGCTAAGACTTCTATTTATACTACTTCGACCATAACGGTCTTGCTATAAGATTCTGCCACGTTCAGAACATGCAGAGCAATGCCTCTCTCTTGCTTCCACGCGTCTTCGAATGCTCCAGCGCATATATTTCAAATTTCGAACATCCCGCTTGCATTTGAATTTCAAATGTTTTGGCACTTCTTCGCTTCGAACGCATTTCTTAGACACAGCCTTGTTATCATTTCGAGACTCCTTTGGATATATTCTCATAACTGTCACTCGAAGCTCCAAGCTTTGATATGCCCATTCGAAACACTGCTTCTGCTATTTCGAAACATGACGTTTTGTTTCATTTCAATCGAAACATCCAATTTACTTTGCTTCTAATAATATCATCAAAATCTTCAGCCAACAAAATGCCCCTTTAAAATATGTATTTCGATTCCTTTGAGAAATACTTATTTTAAACATATACACAAGATTTTGATGCGACCTTCGAATCATCGTAACATTTATTGCATATGACTCCAGTCACGTCAATCATAACGCTTTTTAGATTCCTTAACCGCCCTGAACCATTTCACAGTATGGTGCAGTTACAAAATAATGATTATCTTTAATCACGCCTATTACCAATGTTAACTTTACGCCACCTCTTCATCAAACCAACCCATGATTACCACGTATCACAACCTTACTCAGTGGATGCTTAAACTTCCACATTATAAAAACCCATCAACTTAGTCTTTTCTTTTCTTCCCACATTCTGAATCTTTTCTCCTTCTTTTCTCACCGAAACCCTAAGCTTTCAACATTCTTCCAACAATGTCTTCTTCTACTTCATCCCAACTAAAAAAGGTTTCCAAAAAGAAAGGAAAGACCGCAGGAAACACAATGGAAAGCAAGGTTGTCACCTACCAAGGTCAATCTGTTCTTGTTCCCCAGATGATCTCAAAAGAGAAAGAAATGCTTTATGCATCCCAGGTACTTATTCCTACCACCGCTGCTGGCAAGAGGTTAGCTTTAATGGGCCCTCTTACAGTTTTTGAAATTTTAAAAGACACCAGAAAAATTTTCCTAGTTTGCTATAATTTCAAACCCCTGTTTAATAAAATGGACGCCCCTAAGGCAATAGAGTCTTCTGGTTCACACACAGTGGAAAATCCAATTGTTCCTCCTAAGGACCCTTTTGTATTAGACTATGTAAAGAGTAACTTCAAACCGTTTCGATCTTGCCCCACCTCCGACACTGCTTATCATAACTGGTTCAATAAGGTAGAAGCTAAGAAATCTCAGCAATGGGAAGAATTAGGTATCTACAACTTGATTAAGCTATCGAAGCCAGGTTTTACTTATAGCCACCCATTGTTATTCGCGTCCCTATATTTCTGGGACAATACTTATAATACTTTCCATCTCCCTGGTGGAATGATTACCCCTACCTTCTTTGACATAGCGGCCATTACTGGGCTATCACCAATAGGAGAAACATATATCCCTGACAACAAAGAGCATTCGAGTATTATCGACTTCGAAGTCAAACTAGCAAGCTTTTCAAAGTTTATCAGCCACTATCACACTGAAGGAGACAATGTGTCGGATGTAGAACACATTGCTTTCCTTACCTTATGGCTGTCAAGGTATGTCTTTTGCAGCAGATCCCTACAGGTAGCCAGTAGGTTTATTCCTCTAGCTAGAGATTTGCATGAGAATCGGAGGGTGTGCTTAAGCGAACTGTTATTAGTTGATCTCTATGAAAGCCTGAGGTCAGCTGTTTCGAGTCTAAAATCTCACACCTCCAAGAATATCCTGCTAGCTGGCCCTTTCTGGTTACTTCAGTTATGGCTAAATGCCATGTTCGAACCTTCATTGTCAACTGCCAACACCATTGCTGAACAAGACCCTGAAATAACGGATAGAATAATCGAAGGCACTAGGCTGCGAAGACTAACCCCAAATGATGATAAGGATGACTTCAAAGTCCTATTCTCAAAATATATCATGATATTCTCCAAGAGGCATAAGTTCGAAGAGACCATGGCACCTTTTGCTTCAAGGGCTCATGGACCTTCATGGTTCACCATGGCTCTCTCAGAAGCTGTCAAGAGCAAAGAGATTCAAGATGTATGGAGAGCCTTTTTGCTACCCAGACTAATCTCTTCAAGAATAACTCCTGCCAAGAATCAGATTTTCCTTTTCGCTTATCAGCCCAACTTTGTTTCGAGACAGTTTGGCTTGTGCCAACTAATTCCCGAACCCCTATTTCAAACGGAAAGTGCCATCACCTCTGGGAGAACCTTCAAGGCACGAGAAGCCAAACTACAGCAGGAACAATACCAAGGCTTCGCCCAGTTTGAACTAATAA